ATTTTTATTTATTTTGTCTATTTTAAAATATTATTTTATTTTTAATAATGTTTTATTCGATATATATTTATTTATATTTATTTATTTTAATTATATTTTAATTTATGATAACATAAAGTATAATAAAAATAATTTTTATTTATATTTTATTACATTTTATTTATCATATTTTAGTTTATTTCATAAAATTTTTTTTAATATTATTTTATTTATTACATATCATTTTATAATAATTTATTACATATTATTTATTGCATTATCTTTTCTACTTTTATATATCATATTTAATTTTATTGAATCTATAATATAATAATTTCATAATAATAAATATAATAAATAATAACTTATTTAAATTATTATTTCATTTTATTTATTTCTTTTTATTTTACTTTATCTTGTAATATTTTATTACAAATATACTATTGCCTTTTTTTTTATTTTGTATTATTTTCTATTTTATTTTATAAAATAAATATTTAAATATTTAATATTCATTTCATATTATATCATTTAATTTCATATTTAAATATTTTATTTATATTTTTTTTTTATTTTATTTTGTTTTATTTTGTAAAGAGGTTTTTTCGAAAAGTAGTGAACTACACAACAACAAAAATCTTTTTTATATTATTATAATTATTATTATTATTTTGATCATACAGCTGTTTCGAATATTGCCAAATACCAAGTACCAGAATTTGAATTATAATTATTACTAATTGTAATTATTATTATTATTATAATTATTAAAAATTTTAATTATATTAATATTCAACATTTTCACATACAGGTTTTTTTTATTAATTTTGTTATTCTAATTATTTCCTTTCGTTTCATTTTTTTCCATTTAATATACAATTTTAATATATAAAATGGTCTCTCCTTTTATTAATTTTTGAACTCATTTACTTGAATTATTTTTTTTATTTTATAATCTGGTTTTTTACGTTATATTATTTATTTATAATCGTATCGTACATTATTTTTTTAGTGTGATGCGTTGGATTTTATTTTACTTCATTAAATATTTTTCTATTATTTTATGTTTTTGCGTATTTTTATATCTTCTCATTCTTTTGCTTTTATTTAATGTTATTTTAATTAAATTCTATTTTAATTTTTTTATTGCAATCTATTTTATTATTTTTTGATCATACATAAAACAGCTTTGTTACTAATCATAATCAAAATATGATTAAATAAGCTATTAAAGTTATAAAATGTTGCAATAATCTTCAATATAGTAGTCTGCATGAATATATTTCACATATGCAAATAAATGTATACGTAAAAATATTTATAATTCTCAAACAGTTTACTTCTTATCATAAATAAGATGTCTTTACTCTCGTATATGTGATCGAATATAAGTTTAATACAAAATCTTAAGTATGAATTTTTTTAAGCTTCCTTTTTACTTGATTTCTTATTAGCAAATGCAACTATTGTAAAAGAGCTAAATAGACGGATTTAAATCTAAGTATCAAATTTGTTATCATTTTTTTTTAGAGATATTCTACATGTGTGATTATAAAAATTTATAATTCTCAGTGAATTTGCTTCTAACTATATATAATATATGAAAAATTATATTTTCGTTTTTAAATAAAATTTTAATGGCAAAATGTTGATTGTGAATTTTTGTGTGTAAATTCCATATTTTTAAGTAAGTTAATATAATTGCAATAATAAAAACAAAAAAATCTAAGCATCAAATGTATGGATGTTATTTTCTACATATATTTTTCTTACATCTGTTAAAATTTATAATTGTCAATCAATTTGCGTTTTGCCATAAATAAGATATGTGGATTTACATATAAATAAAAAAAAAAGATTTAACAACAAACGTTGATTAATTTATAATATAATATAAATTATAATATAATATAAAATAATATAATTCCTAATATAATATAACAAAAAAAATTTAACAGAATCTAAATTAATTGATATTCTTCTGCATATATATAATTTTCATATTTAATTCTTAAAATTTTCGTTATTAATTATTCCATTTTATATTAATTATATTTTTGCCACGGCATTTTGAACATCGTGCCTTTCTTTTTTATATTCAGGTTCCCTTTATTTTATTTTGTTTAATTATATTTATAATATATATTTATTGTATTAAGGGCATTAAATTGAATTTAATTATTGAGTAGCCCAAAATCGTTTCAAAATCAATTTGTACATTTTATTCACTAATTATAAAAACTGAATAGAAATATTTCAATAAAAAAGTAAATTAAAAAATTTTTTAAAGTTAATAAAAGAACAATTTTTTGTTTTATTTATTATGTACACTGAAGATATCTGTAATAAAAAATAATTTTTATAAAAATTAAAATATATTTAAATTTTTAACACAAATTTATAAGTGTGATTTTTTATTAAAGAAAAATATTTTTAAATTTTATATCTTAAATTACCGACCTAAGCCTAATATTAAAAACCGTAAAATGAATAAATCAAATATTAGAATATATAAATTTACTATTTGTGCATAGATGGGAGTATTAATTAATTTAGCCTATACAACAACTATCATTGAAATTATTCGAAAAATATGCATTGAGAGAACGTATTTGCATAGTGTTACGGTCTTTGTACATGCATTTCAGAAGAACGGTTCTTGTCTTTACTAATTAAAATTTTCCCTGCTATTCAAGTGCAGAGGGCAACATGCAGAATCACACGGAATATCAAAATCAACATGAGGTGTGGTTTTTACTTTAAGCTATTGAATATTAATTAATGGCTGAACCGTCAACTCTTTTTAGGCGAGAAGTAATGGATAGTAGTGCGAGATTCCTTGCTAAGGGATTAACATGTCAATGCCTTAGCAAATTCATGTTGAACTCAATATTATATATTACACTAATGTAAACAAAATTGTCATGAAAGTGTGCAGTGAAATGTACGTACATTACTTAATGTAAGCAAATATAAGCAAACATGAAGAAATATTATATTAGACTTATTAAATAATAAAAAATTATACAACAAGTGATCGATATTATAATATTTTAAAAATTTTATAATATTTTAGCAACAATAAACATAACTGTTTACACATCCCACAACGAGCAAAGACTGTAGTTCTACGATCTTAACAATGAATCCGTCTTTGAAATATTACGGTCTTCGACGCGAATGCCGCTTGTGACCATATACGGTCATAAGATCATTAATAACAACACAGATTATAAATAGAATTAGACATTTATTAATTATAATACTTCAATCTTTATTAAATCCGTCCGCGAGTTTGAGTAAGTTGATCGTAAATTAAGGGAAATAGTAAATCATGTCAGTATGGCAGCAAATGTTGGTATTTACCAGAATTTCAAGTAGAATAAATTAGATAAAAATCAAATAAATTGGGTGTTTATTTTAAAAGATGTTTAATAAAAAAATTTGAAAACTTTTAAGCAAAAATAATAAATAAGTGCAATAAATAAATAAATATTTACATAAGTGCAGTGCAAAAAATCCCTATGAAATTTTAATTTTCTTCACCTCAATTTACTCGAACATGCACATGGCCTATGTATAAATTTATTTAAGTAAAGAAAAAATTAATAATGAAGAAAAAACTATTGGTTTTGTTCACTTTTAATCATATAAAATGCTAAATAAGAGTATTTAAGCTTATCAATGAAATTATCAATATATTTATTGAAAACTATTAAATAAAATTATTTAAGCTAAACTAAATACAAAATTAACTATCTTAAACATTTAGGTTAAAAATTTAAATAAATCGATTTATTATTATAGGAGCTAATGCAAGTTTGAATAAAATCATGATATCAGGGGTATTACTTTTCATAAGGGATTTTAGGAAAATGAGATATTCTGAGTATTTTTTTCCTTGAACTATATATTGTTATAGAGTGATTTTTATGATACCTCCTTTAAAAGTTAGAGAATTTTTCCAGAAACCGATTAACAATAATTAGACCACCATTGTTTGGTAATTATTGTAATATAGTCAAACTTCCATAACGCGAACTTCTATAACTCGAATTTCATTATAACTCGAACAAAATTTTTGTTCCGTGCCGATAGGAATATAGGAAAGTGAATTCTATAAGTTGAATTTTTATTTTAAGTATTAATGTATTTTACTGTTAGGGGAAGTCCCTTTTTCGAAACCTAATGTTTTACGAAATAGAAGACTTATTCAAAATTCGGACTATATATTTGCTTCATCAGTTGAATGATATTACAACTGATGATCACTATAAGGCTTGAAATAAAGTGGAATCTCTTTTTACTGAAAATAAGAAAAAAATTAAAGTCCCACACCGTAATTACTGAATATTTTACTTGACTATAACTTCTGTGCTATAAATAAAAAAAAATTAAAAAATTCTCTAACTCGAAATCGCCATAAGTCGAGCCTTTTCTTTGCAAAAATGAACTTCGAGTTATGGAAGTTTGATTGTAGTTCTTTTATGCTAGTTTCCGTTAGATGGTTACATTTTGTTTGTGTGATTAATATAAAATTTTATTATTTTATAAATATTTTAGAAATCAAATTATATCGGTATGTAATACAGCAAAAAATTCAGGAAACTGTAATTTTCTACAAACTCTTGCGTTTAATAGGTGATAAGTGTATATATATATATTTGGTCTTAGTTATAAATTATAAATTTGAAATAGGCTTCAGTGAACTAATGTATGAAAAATTAAAATACAAAGTATAAAATACAAAAATACAAAATATTAACATATAACTTTTTTATGTTATTTATTTATTTGTGCGGATGTCATGAAAAAAAGAAAGTTTAAATAACCAAAATACTCATTAAATAAATTAACATTTAAATATAAATTTAAATAAACATAATTGTACTATTTTGTATATATATATAATTATTAATTTAATATAATACTGAACAGTTATAAATATAATTTTGTAACTCCAATCAGAGAATTTTGCGTTGTTGGCAACTCTACATTTTTTACTGCAGTTAGTGCAGCAGTTCACGTTTATGTAAAAATGTTGGTGGCAGTTTTGCGGTAAGAAATTAAGCAATAAATTTTAGCAAACAAAACTTTGAAATAAGTGAGTCGATCTATAAAAGTAATTTTTAAAACGATTGATTTGAAAAATATTTACTATAAATTAACTGAATTTATAATTTGCAATTTATTTTGAATGTACATTGCAGGACGTGTGCGAGACAGCGATCAGCTGTTTACAATGTTCAGTCTGTGTCAGCTGTGCGCTGTTTGTTTACAACCCAAACAAGGTTAAAACGCCGGAAAGTTGGTGAAGAAAAGGTTTTCATTTAAAAATAAATACTATTGAAATGTTTAATTAAAAGAAATCGTAAACAATTGCAGAAATCAGATAGAATAATTGAATATTCTCCGAAGAAAAAAAATGTGGTGGATATATGGCGTTACATGACGGTTGATGAATTAGCGCAAACGATGAGTCGACCGCTAGGTAAGTTGTATTAATTCTGTCTTTTAGCATATTAAAATTTTTAATTTACATTTCCCAGAGGATATACAGGAAGCTATGTTATTTGTAAAAAATGCTAAAAATATTGAACCTGAAGCCACATTGGAAGATATCAAAATTATACAAGAAATTGTTAGTAAATGCGGTAGCAAAACACGTATCGTGCCTGCGCCAGATAACAAAATAGAAACTGAAAAAATACGTGACATAACGCCAAGACCACCTGCACCACCAGAAGCGATGCAAATAAGATCACCTGTGGTGACGGTTATGGGACATGTCGATCATGGCAAAACCACACTCTTGGATACTTTGCGAGGTTCTGCTGTGGCAGCCGGTGAAGCTGGTGGCATAACACAACATATTGGTGCATTTACGGTGACGCTTGAAAATGGAGAAAAGGTGACGTTTTTGGATACACCTGGTCATGCGGCTTTTAGTGCAATGCGTGCACGTGGCGCTAATGTGACGGATATCATCGTTTTGGTTGTTGCAGCCGAGGATGGTGTTATGGCACAAACGAAGGAGGTTGTTAAGCTTGCACAAGATGCAAAAGGTGAATTTTAATTATTTTATACAAATTGTTTATTAGCATTTATTTTTTATGTTTTATTTTTTTCCAGTTCCCATTATTGTTGCTATCAATAAAATTGATAAGCCCGAAGCAAATATTGTAATTATGAAAGTATAGTATAAATTGGAATTTGTTGAAAACAAAATATCTTACAGGAGAAAACAAAAAGAGATTTAATGATGATGGGCTTGGTGCCTGAAGACAAAGGCGGCGATGTACAAGTCATTCCAATATCAGCTTTAAAAGGTACAAATTTAGAATTATTAGCCGAGGCAGTTAGCACGCAAGCCACTCTCATGGGCTTGAAGGCAGATTACACAGGATTAGTGGAAGGTGTTGTTGTTGAGTCGAAAACAGATGCTAGAAGAGGGTAATTGTATTGTATTGTATTTGTATTGTATGGTTATAATTAAATTTTTATTTTAGGAGTAATTAGGTAATAAGTTGAAAAAAA